GAGTGAGGCTGGTATGTTTTTAAAGCATGAGGGGGAAAATGAGTTTTTTTTCAAGATACATATTTGTAGTTTTCAGTTATCGATGCACTAACCTTTGAATTGCACAAACAAATAACCAATTCAGTCAGACCAAAGACAGAAAAGAAAATGCAGAAAATGACCGTTTTTGCCTCTCTGACCCTGTAAGAAGATATTTCAACCAGATTTCGTGTCTCATCTTCGTCAGAAAAAGAAGAGTCGTTAACGAATATTCAACTTTCGTCAGCTAAATTAACTCTGGATTTGTAAAATAGTTTATCTGAATACTTTCCTCCGATCTCTGCGACATAAAACGTGGCGATCGTTCCCTCTGCAGTGACGACTATCACCGGTACAAGAATAAAGGATAATTTACGCAGGATACGGAACAGGCAGCCTGATCAAATACGCGAGCATTATAATCAATGTGCGTGATTCCACGCAATCCATCCGCCGTCCGGCTCTGCTGCGGATCCGCTCCATTGATCGGATCAGATACGCTTCTGTTTTTGCCGTAGCAAAACACATCAAGTCAGTGCAGCGGAAGATGTATGCGTCTACCGAATAAAATATGGACGGTGGTGAACGCTGTATGCTTTTGTTTTTGATCCGGCCGCCGTTCCGGAGCGGATCTGCATGCGGTGGAATCCTGGCATCTGTCTTCGATTCTGGAGTTGTGTTTGAAACATCTCCTCTTGTGTCCATCGCCGTCCGCGGAGCCTTTCCTTCATGCAAATACCCGCAGGTCTCCGCCTCCGGTTCGTGGTCAGCTGTCAAAGTGATTCTGTCCCTGCAGGGGAGCCGCGAGGAAGCATGTTGTGATAACCGAGTGACCTTTCTCAACTCTGGGCCGTAGAATAAGCTGAGATAACTTTTCTCAGGTAAACAATCATCTATTTTTCAATGTGGAAGTGTTAGAAGAGGCTGGGTTTGGTTCGAACTCCCCTTGAACCTCTCAGGTTATATATATTTAATGCCGCGCTCCGGCCTGGCTCGCCCGTTTCTTCTCGTTTCTCGGGTACAGTAGACAACAGGACTCTCGCTCAGGGCAACGGACGTGTCGAGGAGCTGTAATCCGAACACCGGCTGCTGAACGAATCAAAGGGAACCTGAGGGGAAGATGAGACAAGGTGAAGGACAACGCAAAAAAAAAAAAAAGAAAGGAAGATCTACTTCACCGCAAAAAGAGAGGAGGGATAAAAAAGCAGCTCTTTGAAAGCAGCGAGCGCTGTCAAAACAGAGGCTGGTCAAACAGCTGCTTTGTCAACAGTCATTGTAGAGCGGAGCGTCTTTCTGTCGAAACATCAGTCAGAGCAGCGAGGGTAAACTCCAGCGTGGCGCTCGCCTCAGCTTGGTGTTACCTGCACGCTCAGCGGCTCTGACAGTCTCTGTTTTCTTCACTCCTCTCTTTCACTTTCAGACGGATGTTTGTTATACGGAGCGTGTCAACACTGAAGAGGAAACCTTGAGTTTCTTTTTTCTCTTTCTGATCGGTGAAGTGGGAGCGGTGTCGCAGCAGTGCATCATGGGTGAGGAACACAAAGACATATTTGAGCTCCAGCTGTCTGAATGGATGTTCTTATTTAATACAACAGATCAACTCAGGTTCAGGTTCATGTAACAGTAACACTTGGTCAGGGTGAACGCTGCAGGGTGTCCACATCCTGGGTGGTTCAGGGTCATTTCTGTGGTAGTTGAAGAGGTAATTCAGCGAAAGGCTTCGATTAAAGTCGAACACTTTATGATTTGTAGGTGAAGAAGTTCCTGAGGTTTCTGAGCAGTTTCTTACCTCTGTGCTGGACCTCGTTTACGTCAGGCCTACCCGGGCCCAGGTTCGGTCTGCTTGGTGCAGCGTCTCCAGTTTCCCATCCTCCTTCTCTGCAGCTGTATACTCCTTTTCTCTATCATGATAAACTGCTCTGTAACCCACAATTAAAAGCTTTTATTGCAGCGGGGCAACTTCCGGTTATTGTCCCAACTCCCCAACTTACTTTAAGTTCGGGAGCGTACCTGCTTACTCCAGTCGTTGGCGTCTCGCACAAAGAGCGCGTCGTGTTTCAGCGAGCAAACTGTATGATGTTGTTGTGTTGCAGTCGCTAATATCATTCAATGCCTCGTACAGTTTTCGATGTGTTCGCTGTCGGGCGGTGAAAGAAAGAGAGGGAGTATAACCGAAGAAAGTCAGGGTAAAGTATTTAATGTTGGTAAAAGTAGAAAGCCGAAATGTGGGCTATAAATTGACGTTGCAGTCGCAGCTTTATCACTTTTTGTAGATCCATGCTAAACTACAGTGAGGTTTGGTCGAGGCTGAACTCGATCACTGGATAATCGCTCCATGATTTGTGATAATGTTGCTCAACTAGATTGTTATTTATCTCTGCTGCGGTATGAGACTATTTGATTTTGGAAATGTTCAAAGTGCACTTAAGATTCCTGTTAACTTGAACTATTGATACTTTATTTTGATTAACTATTTGTATATTTAGTAATGGCGCTTGTGTGTTATACACACATTAAATTTCCTTTTGGTTCCTTTAAAAATAGCGACTAATTTCCTTTTGATTAAAACGATCATTTATTTTTTTGGCCTTTTTTTAGGTTTTTGTTTTGGACTGTAGATCATCACCATCAACTCCACCCTCATCACAACTATAAATCCAACAATCAACTCAACCAGATGGCGAGCTAACTCCAGAAAAGTGCGGTAGGACAAGAACCGCCTACAGGAGTTCCTGTTTTTACTCAGGAACAGACAGACTTTGGATTTTATGGTATTTTTTGTTTATTCCCGATAGCAGGTTAGAAGTGGTTACAACGATCTTTTCAACTGCACTGATCATTTTGTTTCCTTTTTGTCGTTCATAAAATAACATATCTTTGTCTGTGTACCATTTCTCCCACCTCGGCTCCTTAAGAACCAGAATTTCTGATGCAAACTCACATATCCTAAAGTCGAGTTACAGCTGCACAACATATACCAGCTTCAACTTAAACATATATACATGTCGACAGTGAAACATTACAGAGAAGAGTGCCTGAAAAACTTATATTTGTTTGCAAACACCGGGAGTGTTTTGCTCTGCAGTATTTTACTGTAAAGATGATGAAATCCCGACCCTACCCCTGAAATGTTCCTTCCTGCGGTGTCAGCGCTCAGGCAGGATGAAGGCCTCAGATCACACAGACACACACTGTCAACAGGACACAAACAGCTGGATCCTCAGCTCAAGACTCTGAGCTCAAGTCCTTGAGAAAGAGCTGGTGTGAAATATTGATTTGGACAGTTTGAGAGCTGCAGCAGATACGCAGCTCAAACATCAGTCAGGACAGAGATGCTGACTTTCCCCCTGACTTCTTTTTAAGAGAGAGTCAACACCGGACTGAGTCTGAGAGGGTTACAGAGAGAAGCGAGATGAACACAAAAGGAGAAGCAATCTTAGCGTCTCTGGTTCATTTAGTAAAGCTGCGCGAGGTGTTACAGTCCAAACATTTCAATGAGGGAATAACAGAGAATAAAGTACAGAGAGAAATCAGAGAAAACGGTAAATAACTGTGATGCTGTAGAGAAGGATGAAGCTGCTATACAGTAGATTCTTACAGGAGGTTATTCTCTCTGCAGTTACAGTCAAAACTAAAGCGAAAGTGGGATTAGTTATAAATAAATCAGTTATCAATCATTGTATTTGTGTGTCTGTATGACTGTTCGTAGTTTATTTTAAAAGTCTCAGATGGGACTGAGGTCTTAAGTGTGGTCATTCATAAACGATCACTTCTTCTACAGTCTGTCCACTCTTGATTTGCTGCAGTGCACCTTTATAAGAAATAAAACAACCGTCCGTCTTCTATCTGAGGTGGTGGGTGCAGCGGCCTGAACAAGGAAGCCCAGACTTTCCTCTCCTCAGCCGCTGAGTCCAGCTCTTCCCTGACCCCAAGGCATTCCCAGACCAACTGACAGAAATGGTTTTCCCTGTGGTCTTCAACCGGTGGGAAGAGCCCTGAGCACCTCACCAGTGAGGCGTCTGGGAGGAATCCTAGTTAGGTGCCCAAGCAGAGGAGCGGCAGCTCTACTCCAAATCTCCTCTAGATGACCGAGTTTCTCATCCTGTCTCTAAGGGAGAGTCCAGCCAACCTGGAGAGGAAACTCATTTCAGCCGCTTGTACCTGCGATCTTGTTCTTTCAGTCACTACCCACAACTCGTAACCGTAGGTGAGGGCAGGAATGTCGATCGACCGGTACATCCAGAGCTTTGCCTTTTGACTCAGCTGCTTCTTAACAACGACAAATTTGTAGAGTGTCCACATCACTGCTGAGGCCACATCAATCCACCTGTCGTCGATCTACCGCTCCATTACAGACACTCAACAACACCCCCAAGATACTCGAACTCGAAAGGACACTCCACCTTTTTCCTGCTGAGAACCATGGACTCAGATTTGGAGGTGCCGATTCTCGTCCCAGACGCTTCACACATGGTTACGAAATGATCCAGTGAGAGCTGAAGGTCAGGGTCCACATCATCTGCAAAAAGCAGTGACCAAATCCTGGGACCACCAAACCGGACTCTCTTAACTCCCTCCCTCAGGATCGGTGACAAAGGACAGCCCTGACAGAGTCTAAAACAAGTCCAACTTATGTGGACCAAGCTCTGGCACCAGTCCCTATCACAGTATCTGGTAGCTCAAAGATTTTAGAAACAAACTCAGTGGTTATAGAAATAAAGAAGTACTTGTCGATGCATCGTTGATGCTGAGGTTGGGCCCTGCAGTCGTGTTCATGGTTGATGAAGCTTGAGTAGACCTCACTGTTCTGGAAAGTGGATATTAAAGGTGCAGAGATGTTTCTAGCTCCACTTTCATTTGCATGAAAATCTTTATTTATCTTCAGCAGACATCTGCGCCGCGATGTATTGACAGGATTTCAGGGTTTTGTTTTTTATTTTCATGCTGCTCAAAGGGCCACACAGGTAACTCGCTCAGTGCAAACATTGCTTATGCCTTCGGCCAACTCTGCATAAATCCATAAAGTGAAATAAATAATCATGTGTTTGTGTGCTTAGTGAAATTCAAATGTTGAATCCCCCTGAACCCTCTCTGCAAAGCCCCCTCTGTGGATCTGATAGCAGCCTCCGATCTCTGTTTGTCCTTTTCCCGAGCCGACCAGCAAAATGTCAGCGCGGCCAGATTGGATTGCTTTTATTTAAACCATAAAATTTATGTTTTTGCACTTTCACTTCAATCTGCGGGCTCACATCCCTGCAGCACACATCCAAGCATGTTTTCTTTTTTTTTCCCCGTCAGTGTCGGGTGGACACTTTAGGGAAAAGGCCGCCGAGAAGCTGAGAGAAGCTTCGGCCTTGAGCCAGAGAATCAGGGGCAACAACAGCGTCTGATTGGCTGACAGCCGCCGTGTTATCCATGCTCATAAAAGCAGGAAAACAACCCCCCACCACCACCCCACTCCCACCCCTCGACGCCGCGCTGACAGGCTTAACGGTGATATGAAGGGATGTGTTATCTGCTGACTTCCAAATTCATAAATCTTTGAGATCAGATGAAATTGAAGCGGCTTGAAAAGCTCGAAGGGGAGATTGACACGTCTGAGTGGCTCTGTGGGCGCGCTGCTGCAAACTGCATGCTAATGCGCCATCATGCATATGTTTGTATGTCCTCATTGTGTGTGTGTGTGTGTGTGTGTGTTTGCAGGTTGAAAACACATATACGCTGCTTTTCATACTACCTACGTAAGCATGCATATGTATAAGGGTTAAGGCCGCACTTGTTCACGTAAACACGGCAGATACTCCAGAGGAAACCGTGTTTTTAATCTGAAGTTCTTCGAATCTTGTTTTTTGGAGTTAACCAGCACATTTTGGGTTTTCATTCCTCATCCTGAGTGACGCAGGAAGAGTTTATCTCTTCTCCTGTCTATGTTTGTCAGTAAAATCACTGAAACTCACTCGAGAACTTCTCCTCAGAAGTTTAGATCTTAGAGGGTTTTAGAGTTTAGGGTTTTGTGTTCTGTTCGTTAAGCAGGGTAACTTCGTTGATTCCCTTCAACGTGTTTGACCTGATGTTTTACATTGAGGGAGTCTGTTATTTATAATTTCATTATTTTAGCAAAGTTGGCCGGTGTGCAGAGACATGATAAGGTAAGGTAGACTTTATTGATCCTGCATAAGAGAAACTGTTTCACAACCAGGACAATAAGACAACAAACAGCACAGAGACGTCAGAAAAACATAAACTACAACCAGATACACGACAAACACAGTAAAGGACAATGAAACATGATTTAAAAGTGGTAAAATCAAAGAGAAGGACGTTAAAAAATACGACTAAAGCCTGATAAAAATGAATAAATACTAAAATAAAGACCTCTACAAACTATGCAGCAGCGCCAAGTCAGACCCTCGCAAATACTATTAAAATATCTCACTGCTGCTGGAACAAAAAGACTTTCTTAGTCGTTGAGTGGAGCACCGAGACATCACAAGTCGCTCACTAAATGAGCTTTTAAAGACACGTGCAACCAGTGATCTATGTAGACTAGAATTAACTTTAATTTAGACCTGGTCCTCCTCTCAACAATGGCCTCAAGAGACTCTGGAAGCAACACAACATTCTGAGAAGTTGCTGCAAAGAGGGGAAAGAGAAAAGCAGATGTGGAACCTTACAACAGACAAAGATCAACAAGAGGCGAGACAGTCCACTCCAGAGTAAAAGAAGCTCGACTGCTGAGGATAGTCTGGATAGTCTGACCATATCCTGAATCCTCAAATAGAGGACACGCCTACGCGAGGGCGGAGACATGGAGTCACACAAAGTTAATTTTGAGAGTTTTTCAGGTCGGATCAAGTGTTTTTTACACACTTCGAACTCAGTAAGTCCACATGACACAAAATCGAAACTTACGTACAAAACCGCAGACATTTGAAGGATTTAATCAACTCCCCCAGTCTAACCCGGAAAGCATGGTCAGCCCCCCCAAAAAGAGGACATGTCCAGGTAAAAAGACGTACGGTCACCCCACGTAATTACGATATTTTTGCAAAGTTGGGCTGGTGTGCAGAGGCATGGTGCAACACAACCTTCGGATAAGTTGCTGCAAAGAGGAAAAGAGAAAAGCAGAACCTTACAGCAGACAAAGATCAACAAGAGGCGAGACAGTCCAATCCAGAGTGAGATCTCGACTGCTGAGAAAAGGTCTCCGGTTGAACAACATGTCCGACAACATGAGGATTTTAGATTTAAGTATCTGCTCTTAGACTTGGGTAAGAATATGTGAACTTTTGCCACCTGTGGTTCCCCGATGACAGTTTCAGGACCCGCTTTAATTCACTCTTCTGTTATTTCGCGGGCCCTGGTGCTGAACTTGGAACCGTCTAAACGGACCCGCCTCTCTGGCACTTGCCTGATGATGCCGCCAAACTGTCACCGCTGCTAATCTTAATAAAAATCCCAGTGTTCGGGGGAGAGATGAATGTTTTTCCCCAGAAAGAAAAATATGTCGAAGCAGGAAAGCCGTCAGCTCCGTTGAGAGTCAAAAGACTTTGCAGTGCATTTCTGAGTCTGTGTGTGTTTGTGTGTGTTTGTGTGAGTCATTTGTGCAGTGGAGGCAGCGGCGTGTTGGGTGAAGATTGAGCCTGAGATGGAGTGTGAGATGTAAGCGCTCTGCCTCCAGATAAACACACACACTCAGACACACACAAACTCTCGCTCTAATTCATTTTCCTTCCTCTGATTTATCTTGTTTTCCTCCGTCTTGTCTGCTCATGCCCAGATAAAATCCCCCAAATTGCATCACCCGCCCCTCTGTAACTCTGTTGCTTCTGTTTCAGGCAACACTGTAGTGCAACAAAAATAATAATGCATCTGGTATCTCTTAGATTTGAGTTATAACACCATTTATACAGCCGACAACTCCTTTGATGTAATTATTTCGTGTCGGTGCCGAGGCGTCCGGAGATGATACAAATATCACGGAGCGCTTCGGCAGCGGCAGCCTCACGCACGCTCTGCAAACAACACAACCGCAGACAACAGCAGCAGCAGAGTGTGTGAAGTCGAGCCAAGAAGACACTACTTTGTCAAACTTTGAAAACTTACTCTACAACTGTGCGAAAAAACGAAAACAAAAAAACGACGATGACCCCGCGTGTTCTTGGATTCTGTCCAATTAGAATCATGTAAATTTTCACCATCAGAGTTTCCAGTTAAAGTCAGAGGTTCAGCAAAGTTTGGGTTGGCAAATAAAACATTTCAAATATGATTTTGTGTTTCTACATTTACGTTCAGAAAGTCACTCTACAGCAGGAGTTGACGGAGTCGTCAGGTGTGACCTCGCTCCTGACCTGAAACCCGCTTAAAAATTTTCAAAAGCAACCAGCAGAGATCGGACCGGCTCAGAACCGAGGAGTGAGTCCGGCTGATTCTGTATCTGTGCTGAGGTAGGAGGAGGTTCTGGTTCCAAACAGCCCAGCTTTGAGATCCAAAAACAGTCCCTCAGAGAACTGATTTGAGTGAAATGATCAGGATCACTCAAAATACTGAAATCCTCAGAAGTAAAGAAAGAGGATGGGTGGACTATCAGGGTCCCCTCGATCCAGGTCTAGTAATGATTTAAAGGCATGGTTGTCGATTGTAGAGATTGGTAATTATTATGAACCTTGTTTCTATGGCGATCATGATCCTATAGTTCGATCTCCACAAATTGAAGAGAAAAAAAAAAACAGAAAAAATCCGTTCACCCTATCAGGTTTAGGGCTGCGAAAACATTGACCAATAGGAGCCATCCGTCCCTGACAGCTCCTATTGGTCAATCTCCTACTCCGCCTCTCCATCCAATCACCTCGCTGTATTCGACACACTCCTCTCCCGTAGTTCTGACTCATCCCCGCCGTCCTCGGAGCTCTGAGCGGCTAAAAGTAGCGTAGCAGCTTAGCTACAGCTGTGATGGAGAAGGACGCAAAAAAAAAACCCACTTCTGCTCACCCCAGCGCCAAAAGTGGGACAAAAACGCCGACAGAAGACAGGGCGGAGTCAAAGAGGAAATGTGACCAAGAGAGGAATCTAACGTGAATAACCATCGGGTCATCCTTGGAGCGGTGGAGAAAACAGACGCTGAGACAGCAGAGTTTTAGTTGAACAGGTCATTTTTATCGCCTTTTATCGTTTTTCTCAGATCGTCAACCAGGACTTTAATCCAAACATAAAACATCCATGAAGATCACAAAGGGTTCATGATCCTGCTCAAGTCTCCTGTGGTCCATCTCACCATGAAGATCAGGGTCTAAGTCCTTCTTACTTCTCAGGTAAGTAGTGATTATTTATAAGAAGTTTGTTGAAAGTTTAGCAGCTCTCAGGTGGAAAGACTGTAGGTGTTGGCGAGGATGCTGGAGGCCCACCTTGAGTCCACCTCTTTGGTCCACTCTTCATTAGGGTCTTGAGACCTCCAGAACCGGTGGGTGTCATCACAGGGAGCAGCAGGTGTTTTCTGACAGGTGTTTCTTGCCTCATCTGTTGCCACTTAGCGTGAAATCCTTTTAGATGATATTAGCTTCACAGGACGTGTTTTTCTTGACGTGTTCATCTTAAAACATGTTTCTCCTCCTTATTTCATTTCGCTGCTGCCTTTTATCTGATTTCCATTAGCGATTTAACAATCACTAAAAACCCTGGGAATCCATCAGCCGGCGTGTTTGGGAAGAGATCCACGGATTGAAGCGTGGTGAGGAGAGAAAAGAGCTCTCCGGCTCTGTGTACGCCGTGAGTATCATTAATTGGCCTCTTCTGCTTTCATGTTATTACCCAGTGAGAGATTTTGTTAATGTGAGCTACTTTCTGATCATTTCGCTAATTGGCGTCAGCTAACACATGTCCTGTTATTGTCAGATGGCACAGCGGTTTCGTCTGAGAGCTAATGACGTTTTATTAGACTTCAAAGAAAATGAGTTGTATGCCTTTTCTTACATCTGTCAATAAAACACTCGTTTGAAACCACACGACACACTTTTCAGAAAATTGATTTTTGGTTTTTGCAGAAAGTTTTTTTGTCTTCGTTTTTAGATTTCATTGTAAGAGACTGAAAAGATCGAACACAACGAGGCAAAGAAACGCGGCTGGATCTTTTTGACAGAATCACAGAGTCATGAGTGAGGGAGGGTTCGTCTTTCGGTTACAGACTGTGGAAGACGGCGTGTCTTTTGTCTCACACGGCCCCTAAACATCATTTACAGACACATTATCGCCTATTATAATGTAATCCATCAGCTGTTTCAGGGTTCTTCAAATCCAGTGTTGGGGAAGTTACTCAAAAAAAGTAATCTGTAACTAGTGACTAGTTACTTCTGTAAATTGTAATTAGATAATCTAACTAGTTACTGCATTTGAAAAGTAACTTTACTACTTATTACTTTACTTTCCCGTTTCTTAATTAACCGAGTAGAAGTACTTGGACAAACATCACTGATCATAGTCTGCACTATTTTGTTTATTGTATAAATGTCGCCGGGGCACACTGAGTGCTTTTTACACCGATATTTTTGTCCTTTCGACTTATATAATGAAATTAACGTGAGTATCGCCACTTGCCAAAAGCCCCTCTGTCGTCCACCCCTGTCTTTGTCTTCATTTCCATCCGTCTTTGGCATCAGCAGCTACGTCACTCTAATCGATCTCTCCACAGGACTTTCAAAGGCCACATGACTGCGCAATGCAATGTTGGGGTTGGGTCAGAAAGCGCCATCTCCGCAGGCAACGTTTTGTTTACGTTTGACAGTGAGAAAAAAACACCAGAGAAAAATGAATCCCGTGAAAGAAAAGATCGTGAGAGTAAGGTGACCAGATTTCTGTAATGAAATCCGGAAACATCCAGGGGGTTGGGAAGATGTGAATTGAGGCCCTTTATTTCTGGAGAGCGGGGGCATCGTGATCACAGACAACATCTCGGTACGACTTTGTAGCAGCGCACACCGCCTGTGATAACCCCCCATAAAATCTACTGCACGCAACATGCTTACTCGTGCTTCTTACCTGCTCGACTACCGTAATAACCGTTGTTCTAGTCTACACGCAACATTTTTGTTCTCTTTCATGAAGGCGACAGCTTTAGCCGGGGACAATTCACCAATACGGGAACTGTCCCTGGAAATCGTCACGTCTGGTCACCTCATGTCAGAGCGTACGGCGACAAGCTGGACAACGGTCCAAAGACTAGATATCAAGAAAAATAAAAAAGATGAAATTGATCCTCATGAACACCAAACCTCTGCCGACTGTCACAGACACACAAGCAGCACAAACACCTCAACAGATCAGGACTTCGTTACCCCCCAAAAGTAATACGGTTACTGTAATCCCTTACTTTGTGGTGCGTTACCCCCCAACACTGTTCAAATGTCATCTTCAACCACCAACATACTTTTATTTTTTTTTTCATCAATGAGCCTTTTGACCATCATTAAAGTACCTTCATTCACAGAACTCATGATATTATAATCAAGTTCTAATGGTTCCTTTAGGGCACATATGTCAGAGTCAAGGCCCGCGGGCCACATCCGGCCCGCGAGAAGGTTTTTTACGGCCCCTGGGATGATCTTGATTTATTATTAGAACCGGCCCGCAGACCGCAGCAAGCCGGCAGCCCGCAGATCTTTTACACGCACCAATACTACATTTCCCACAATGCAACGGTGACGCACCGAGCAGTAGGCTGCTTCATTTCAATATTTATTAGCACAGCAGTCGTCAGCATAACAGTAAAATTAACTTTCAGATACCCATCAAAAATGGCAAAACGGAAGGTGGACACTGAGAACCGGGGGTTTGAAACAAGGTGGGAGTCAGAGTATATGTTCACGGAGGTAGCTGGAAAACCTGTGTGTCTTCTGTGTGGAGAAAGTGTGGCGGTACTGAAAGAGTATAATCTGAGACGACATTATGAAACGAAACACGCGGACAAAAACAAGAA